AGAAGAAAAGTAGGAATAAGTAAATTATCCTAATAGAGTGAGTTTCCCTCTCTCAGGAGAGAAACAGAATGGGAAGAATATAGTAACTAATTCCCAATTTCCCAAGATTATAAAACTTAGCTTTTAATATGGAACTAAATTAAAAAGAAAAAAAGAGAAAATTACGGTTGAACCCACCAAACTTAAAGGACCACTCTAGGCACCCAGACCACTTCAGCTTAATGAAGTGGTCTGGGTGCCAGGTGCAGCTAGGCTTAACCCATTCTTTTATAAACATAGCAGTTTCAAAGAAACTGCTATGTTTATGAATGAGTTAAGCCTTCCCCCAATTCCTCTAGTGGCTGTCTCATTGACAGCCGCTAGAGGCGCTTGCGTGATTCTCACTGTGAAAATCACAGTGAGAGCACGCAAGCGTCCATAGGAAAGCATTGATAATGCTTTCCTATGTGACCGGCTGAATGCGCGCACAGCTCTTGCGGCGCGTGCGCATTCAGCCGCATGGGAAGAGAAGAGGAGGATCGGAGGAGGAGAGCTCCCTGCCCAGCGCTGGAAAAAGGTAAGTTTTTACCCCTTTCCCCCTTCCAGAGCCAGACGGGAGGGGGAGCCTGAGGGTGGGGGCACCCTCAGGGCACTATAGTGCCAGGAAAACTAGTATGTTTTCCTGGCACTATAGTGGTCCTTTAATGTGTTAAAAACGGCAGCTATAGGCTACAATGCTGTACAGTAAATGTACTTTTGCCAACAGTTATGTGCTCCTAACAGTAATGCAGTTTGGTATGACTGTATGATTAAAATGCTGTGGATACTCCAAACTGTTAAATCAGCTAAACAATACTTGCTGAAGTTTGTTGGAGAATTTCACGCTGTACAGCAGTGTAACAAGGGTTAAATTATTATATTCACAACCTAAGGTTACTTTTGGTGAAAGTTATAGTTACTTTTGTGACCAACTCAATGTACCTTTAGCTAAACTCTTGAAGGTAGGAAAGGATTTCTATGCTGAATAGCCTTTATACGAGCTTTTAAATCTACTATGGTTAGAGCAATATGCCACTGAAAGAGTGAATGGTGATGAAAGTGTTAATAGCTGAGCGTGGTTAGTGCACAGTTGGCAATAGTACATTTACTGTACAGCATTGTATCCTATAGCTGCCGTTTTTAACACATTAAGTTTGGTAGGTTACCTTACCAACTGTAATTTTCTCTTTTTTTCTTTTTAATTTAGTTACATATTAAAAGTTTTATAATCTTGGGAAATTGGGAATTAGTTACTATATTCTTCCCATTCTGTTTCTCTCCTAAGAGAGGGAAACTCACTCTATTAGGATAATTTACTTATTCCTACGTTTCTCTTGCTTGCTCTCTACTTTTGAGTTGAACATTGGCTTAAAGATAGAGAGTACAGAGAGTTGTCAATAATGGTACATTTTCAAGCTGGGAAAAAAGTGGTAAGTGGTGTCCCTGGTTCTGCGCTGGGACCACTTCTATAAAACATATTTATACATAATCTTGAAACAGGCATTGAAAGTAATGTTTCAGTGTTTGCAGATCACACAAAACTGTAAATTAATAAAATGTGAACATGATATTACTCCACTGCAGAGGGTTTTAGATAGATTGGCAGACTGGGCACTTAAATGGCAGATAATATGTAATATAGAAAGATGTAAAGTTATGCACTTCAGGGTAAAGAATGCAAGAGCTACTTACACTTAAACGGTAAGGATAACAACACAAGATGGTGTTGGGAATTGTTATAGACAACAAACAAGGCAACACTGTGCAATGCCAATTAATAGTTGCTAAGGACAATAAGGTATTGTCATGTATAAAACGGCTCATTCATTTTCGGGATGAAAATTTAATTTTGCCTTTTTATAAATCACTGGTAAGACCAAACCTGAAATTTACAGTGCAATTTTGGATACCTGTTCTAAAGAAGGACATTAGAAAAAGTGCAGAGCTGGGCTACAAAATTAATAAAAGGAACCCAGTTGCACTATTAAAGGACCCCTTTTTAGAATATCCTTCAGGTGGCCCTAAGTGCATGGGTCAACTGATGGGCCCCCTGAGCTTGCAGGCCCTGGTGCAGCAGCACCGACTGCACAAGCAATAGTTCCACAGCTGCATTTAACTGTGTACAACAACCAATTAGCAAACCATGTCTGAATTCTCTACAGGTGCTACATGGCTCATTTGTGTATAGCAAAAAGTTTCCTCAAATGTTGAATTCCTTTTGAAATGATTGACTATACTTTCATACATCCAATATTTCAAATGGACAAAGAGTGACACTTTCATTTTAAGAGTATAAATGTGGAAGAGGCCAGGGCTGTTCTGGAAAAGTTGAGACTCGCTAATAGCAATTTATGCAAATAAATCCAGCCTCTAGTGGCTGTCTCATTGACACCCGCTAGAGATGTTTCCACGCGTCTCACTGTGATTTTCACATTGAGAAGACGCCAGTGTCCATAGGAAAGCATTGAGAATGCTTTCCTATGAGACTGGCAGAATGCGCACGTGGCACTTGATGCGCATGCGCATTCAGCCGATGACGGGGAAAGGAGGAGGAGTGTCCCCAGCGCCGAGGGAGCCCGGCGCTGGAAAAAGTTAAGGGATTAACCCCTTCCTTCCCCCAAAGCCCGGCGGGAGGGGGACCCAGAGGGTGAGGGGGACAAGAATGTTTTCCTGGCACTATAGTGGTCCTTTAAGTTAATGCTAATTACATAATCCAGAATCTCAGCAAGGCATTAACAGTGCTAAAAAATATATATATTAGAAAATATGTTTAATATTCTGATATAAAACTACAATTGGTAGAACCAAAAAAAATGCAATAAAAGTTTTTTTTCTATAAGTCCTATAAAGCAAGACATTTAGGCTAAAAATGGTATTGTCTCTAATATCCTATATAGGTGTACTAAAATAGAAAAGAACAAAATCGGGAGGGAGAGAAGGAAAACAGATATTACAGTAATATTGTTAATAAAAGTTCAAAAAAATTTATTAAAATATACTTAAAAGAAATTATAAACGGACTGTCACATTTAAGTAAGAGATAACCAGAATATCAAGTAGTGCAGCATACTCAGTATCTCAGGAGTCCTAATTCTCCTTATGTTGCACTAAGTTGCAGCAAGCTGCTGGAGGGGATGGTATCAACTGGGTGCCATTCCATTTTCTGGTATAATTTTCTCACAAAGGTCCAGGAGAAGGTCTACGTTCAGTTGAGTGCTATTCACTTTCTCCTATGGAAATTCTCTGGAAAGATGTTTCGATCTGTCACAAGAGTTTTATCAATGGCTCTGTGTTTAAATTTGAATTTTCCTTGCTACCGTTACAGAACGCTTATAATAATAATGCATGAAGTGGTTGGAGAGAGGGGAATGCTTCTGTCTTTCATTCTGGATTTTCCATTTAAGCATATTCCAAGGATTCCAAAAACTCGGAAATATCTAGTCACAAATTCAGTGTGAATTTAAAAAAAAGAAAAAATCCAAATTAAAAGATTAGATTATTTTAATTTTCCAGAAATAAATTAAATTTAGAGGGTATGCTCTTATTAAAATATAAAAATGCTTTTAGCTGGAAAATGAGACATTTAAAAATCTGCATTGAGGCCTTTGGTCATAAGTGTTCCCAGTTGATAAATCAAACTTTAATCAAATCACCTCCTCTCCAATGTTCTAACTTTACAGATGGCAAATTTTAATAAACTTGCATTGACATTGTTATGCGTGGTAACATGGGCCTACACACTGTGTTGCATGTACTTTTTCTCTATGTTTCTTATATGCTCTCAGATTATAATAGAAGGCAGGGCCGGACTGGCCCACCTGGATACCGGGAAATTTCCCGGTGGGCCGTCGGCACCTGGGGCCGGGCAGGCAGCTGGCTCACCTGCGGCCGCAGAGGGAGCTCTTTAGGTGGCCGCAGGGGGAGCTGGCTGTTCTGTCTCTGCTCCCCCTCCCCTGCGAGCTATAAAGAGACCGGGGCCGGAATATGAATTCATATTCCAGCCCCGGTCTCATTAAGCTGCGCGCTGGGGAGGGGGAGCAGAGACAGAACAGCCAGCTCCCCCTGCGGCCGCCAGAACAGCCAGCTCCCCCTGCAGCCGCCTAAAGAGCTCCCCACAGGGAGAAATTGTGTGTCAGTGTGAGTGTATGTGTGTGTGTCTCTGTCTGTGTCATGGTGTATGTGTGTGTCTCTGTCTGTGTCATGGTGTGTGTGTGTCTGTGTCATGGTGTGTGTGTATCGCTGTCTGTGTCATGGTGTGTGTGTCTGTCTGTGTCATTGTTTGTGTCTGTCTGTGTCATGGTGTGTGCGTCTGTCTGTGTCATGCAATGTGTGTCTGTGTCATGGTGTGTGTGTGTGTCATGTAATGTGTGTGTTTGTGTCACGGTCTGTCTGTGTCATTGTGTGTGTGTGTGTGTGTCTGTGTCATGAAATGTGTGTCTGTCTGTGTCACGGTCTCTCTGTGTCATGGTGTGTGTCTGTGTGTCATGGTGTGTGTCTGTCTGTGTCGTGTGTGTGTGTCTGGGTCACGGTCTGTCTGTGTTATTGTAACGAGAATATACCCCCAACACGCAGGATTCAGCTAAACAAAACACAACACAGAGGAGAGATACGTCTACCGGACCTTAGAATGGCCGGACTCGACGTATATGAGAGGAGACAGAGTCAGGAACAATCCGAAATCAAGGGCACAGAGAGACAGCGTAAACTAGGACAAGCCGGGTCTGGTACACAGTAAACAACAAGCCGACAACCAGAACAGAAGGATAAAGAGAAAACGTAGTCAGAAACAAAGCCAAGGTCAATACGGAGAAACACAACTGAACACAACAAGCGCTAAAGGGAACTGATACAGAAACCACGATAGGGCAAGGAACAGAGGGAAGAAGGTGAGTATAAATACCTAAACATCTAATTTGATTGGTCCCTGTCACATCCACGCCCCCAAAAGGTAAGTGTATAGGGAGTGTGGCCTGACAGGGACCAATGGGATGCCTTTTCCAATTTAGGAACCCACTGTCCCTTTAAGAGCGCGCCCGATACCCGCGGCGCGCTCTTAGAGTTAGGTGGAACACGTGACCGCTTTCCAGTCACAGCCGTCGGATGAGCCGCGCGCGGCTCGTGCAGCAGCAGGACCGCGCGCGGCTCGAACAGAGGACCCCGGCCGGCCCCTGGAAAGGGTAAGTACCGCTACAGTTATGGTGTGTGTGTGTCAAGGTGTGTGTCTTTTTTAAGGTGTGTGTCTGTCATGGTGTTTGTGTGTCTGTCATGGTATGTGTGTGTCTCTGTCCTGGTTTGTGTGTCTGTCTGTCTGTGTCATGGTGTGTCTGTCTGTCATAGTGTGTCTGTTTCTGTCTGTGTCACGGTGTGTGTGTGTTTCTGTCTGTGTCACGGTGTGTGTGTCTGTGTCACGATCTGTCTGTGTCATGGTGTGTGTCTGTCATGGTATGTGTGTGTGTATGTATGTTTTTACTCACCTTTTTTTTCCCCCCACGTCGTGCTGGTCTCCCCTCGACTGGCCCTGCCTCTACGACTGAGATCTTCAAGCTTGATGATCTCAGCCAATCCGCACTGACACAGGAAGCACCTTTAGTGACCGTTTGAGTGTCTGTCACTAGGGATCAATGTAAACACTGCCTTTTCTCTAAAAAGTTAGTGTTTACATTGAAAAGCATGCAGGGACAGGCTATAGACACCAGAGCCACTACATTAAGCTGTGTGTGTGTGTGTGTGTGTGTGTGTGTGCGCGCCTGCTAGTGAGTGGGCTTGTGTTTTTATGTCAATGACCTTATGTATATCAGTGAGATTGTTTGTCTATGAGGCTGTGTATCAATCAGCTTGTGTCAGTGAGATTGTCTGTGTCTGCATGTGAGTATGCTTACTGTATAATTAAAAATTTTACTCTGAAAGGACCAATATTTTATATTGGAAAAAGCAATATATATATATCAATCATCTAGGGTGGCAAGACATAGCCTTACATATTACATGCGACAATATATGGCGCAATGACTTATGGGGCTGGCATAGAATTTTTTTCCAGGGCTGCGTTGGAATCCCCAGTCCTGCCTTGATAGAAGGTTTTCTCATTGTTCTACCTAACGTGTAAATCACACACTTGCTGTGGCACGTCATACGATCTTTAATTATCTGGGTGGTGTTCTGCCGTGGACAATTGATTTCTGTTATTTTACGGTTAGCATTCACCTTACTTTCTTTACATGCTGCACATCTGTTACATATGTAAAATCCTTTATCTGTGCTGATGGAAATTATTCTAGTTGGACAGCTATGCATTCTGACAATCTGATTTTTTATGTTCGGAGCTCCTCTAAACCTATCCTTGTTTTTTCTGGTAGGAGGTCTTTCAGAATTTTGCCTCTTTTTAGTAGGTTACAATGTGTTTTTAATGATTCAGTTGGCCATTTTCACAATTATAAAGACAAAACATACAAAAGTGGATTTCTGATAAAGTAAGTGACACCACAAGTGCAAATGATAATATAAAATAAAACCAGGGAAAACAAATGGTGGGGGGAAAAAATAAAAAATCAAATGGTCACCAAATGAAATAACATATTAAACATAGTGTAATATAGCACAACCATAGAGTAGGAGGCAAGGAAAACTCACAATATGTCACGATTACTATATGAACCAACATGCGGAACTATGTGACATATAAAATAAATGAACAGGGACAACGCACACCGGGCCTTAGAATAGCCGGACTTAACGTAAAAGAAAATGGTCAAAATACTAGCCGAGGTCAGGGAAACAGAAAGAGACAGATCGATGAAACAAGCCAAAGGTCAAGGATACCAAAATTTGGGAAACTAAAAATATAAGCAAAAGTCAAAATACCAAACAATAATCAAGAATGCACTCTCTGAAAACCAACAAGTGGAAACCACGACAGGGTACTGACCAAATGCTAATTTGGGTTTAAATAACACTTCTGAGGTTGTGATTTGCTGTACTTGGCCTTTGACCCCAAAACATGTGTTGATGATGTGACACCTCACGCACATTGGTGCCATCTTTGATGTGGACGGAGGTAAGTATTCTATTAAAACCAGAACTGTAGCGGCCGGTGTCCCTAAGAACACCGCACTGGCTGGCGACAGGAACGTGAGGGGATCGGGCAGCGATCCAACGTGTCCCATGTAAGTACAAATCAATTCTGTCGGCGTGGCCGCTCTGGGTATGTGCGGTCACACCGACAGTAGAGCCAGGAGCAGTGACACAATATGGAGCAAAATAAAGGCTTGTTTCCCCTATATGGGATATCTTTAGGAGGCTGTATCCTCACTCTTGGTTGGTAGAAATCTTCATAATAAAGAGATTTTTTTTTAAAATAGTGCAATATTTATTATTAAAATGCACTTACTAGATAATCAGTGTGCCTGGAGTGGACTATTGGCTAGCCTCCTGCCTTCCGACTATGGCCCATGTGCTGATAGCGGTATTTTCCCCTGCAGAAAGGTTTATTTGTGTATTTCTGCTGGGGCGTTCTGGACTTTCAGTGTGGTAGTAGTGCTATGCCAGATAGCTATGCCATGGAGCCTATTTGTGTAACAAAAGACTATGGAAAAGACTTTGGCTCCATGGTGATTGAATTGTATGGTGATCTCAGCGCCATTCAATAATAATGTGCACTCAGATCGAAGCTATCTGGGGATATGTTGCATGTATATGTTTTATGTAGTAATTGTAACATTGTGTAATTTTATGTCTTTTTGTAACCATGTGGTTAATGGAGTCTTGCCTCTGTTCTGGGAGATAATTTGATTACTTCCCAATTATCTTCAGGATAGAGAGGAGGGATTGTGATGTCACTGTGGGAGTGTTTTGTTTGTATTGTCTGTGATTGGTTATACTGGGTCCCACTCTGTGGGATGTCCCCTTGCATGGGGACTTGCATAAAAGCCAGTGTGTGGTCATTAAAACCAGATCATCTTGTACCTTTCTTGAAGCCTTGGCTCATGTTTGGGGAATTGGAAAACTACACTCTGGGGATTGCTATAATCACTATACTCCCCAGGGTATGATCACTAAGAGCTTGTTACTGTTTCTGCTCTCTGGGGAAAGAGAGGTTCCCTACTGGAAGCTGGACCCTGGCCTTGGGTCCAGGGTGGGTGGAGACGGCGAGAACCCGGCGCAGCTGCATCGCTGGAAATGGGGTCTGCAGTGTTGATGGTGTCGGTTAGAGTCCTCAGCGAGCACTAGGCGCATCGATTGGCGGAGGTACTCAGTCGGAGTGCCAGCGGTCCATCACAATCATCAAGAGCATAACTCCACTTCCGATGGAACAGAAGTAAAACCAGCTTCCATTTTGGATGAGTGACTCTCAGCAGCACAATACAATAAAACCAAATAAAAAAACAATATTGGAAACTAATATCTGTTCTGATGTCCAACCTTTAGTATTCTTCGTTTATATCCATGCTGTAAATGCAATGATTCTCTTCACCTCCACACTGGAATGCAAGGGAAGTTCCGATTCGGTAACATCACTTCCATTTCTGTTACCTTTTAGTAGATATTCCCCACATCAGGCATGGGAAATTGTGATTGTTGCACTAAAATGTTTGTCCCCTCCCCTTTTGACAAATGGCAACATAAATAAAAAATAATAGTGCAACCAAAGAAAGCCAATCCTTAATCCACACAATAAGTATAACATATATATTAAAAAAAACATTATGATGACCATACATAAATTTCTTTACGCTGCTTGCATTCAGTTCTAATAAAAAGAGACACAAAAAGTGTAATACTGTTGAGAGTACATAGAGGTTTAAAGGAAATTTAAAATCACTTGTGGCCGTGACAAGGCTCTATACAAAGCACTCAAGTGTGTCTGTATAAGTTTTATTAATCTTTGGATATTCAATCATAAAAACAAAATTTCAGGGGGGAGGAGCTAGCGCCAGTGCTGCACAGATGCAAAACTAGACAGCTCCGGCTGACCGACCACAATCTTACCTTCATCTCAGCACACTCACACAATCGGTCAGCCCAACACCCTGCAAAAGATGCAGGAGCTACACCCGCACCGATTGATGCCCTTCTTTCTCCCCAAAAAGGCACCCAGGCGGAGACGCAGGCCTCGTGCCTACACCACACGAGAGACCCAGGACTGGGGGAACCTATTTGGCGGAGTGTATGACCCCTGGGAACCTGCTTGCCTGCCCAGACCATCGCCAGAACCTGAACCAGTGGTCCAGATGCCTGCCATGGGAAGGCGATCCTAAAAACAGAACCCTTCGTCCACTCACCAAGACATCGGAGCCCTGCTCCAGAAACAAGCGCAACCCAAGATGGAGCCCGCGGAGAGCATCCTCGCCGCCCCACCGGCCGCAGCACCTGAGCAACGGGACTCACAAGAGAGAGGTAATACACTCCCCACACCTCAAGTACCTGCAGAGACCGCGGAGGACTCCGGTCCCACAACTAAACGCGACCTGAAGGTCCTGCTAAATGACTTTCATAAGGTGCTCGCAGCTGAACTCGCAGTACTAAGGGCAGATATGCAAAACACAACTGACCGAGTGCAGGCCCCTAAAGAGGACATTTTGGACATCCATGCTGACCTCTCCCAGGTACACACAGAGGTACAACAGCTTACAAAGTCACACCAAGCCCTATCCATGCAGCTGACCTCCCTAGAGGATAAATACAGATGCAACAACATCAAAATACGTGGCATACCGGCCAGTATCTCATTCGACGAACTGCCTCATTACGTGAGAAGGTTGTTGGCGAATATCCTACCCCCGGCCGTTGCAAAGAAAATAGCAATGGACGGAGTGTATAGAATCTCAGCCCCTACCAGGGCCTCACAAAATATGGACCGAGACGTCATATTGCGCTGCACCACATCCCAGGATAAAGGACGCATCATGGTGGCCCTGAGGGGCAAAACGCCACTGCCATTTGAAGAATCACAGCTGACCTTTTACCAGGACCTGACAAGATCAACCCTGCAATGGCGCGGAACACTTGCACTGCTCACTACACAACTCAGAGCGGCTGGCGTGAGGTAGCGATGGGGTGCACCGGGATCCCTCTTAGTGATCCACCATGGACAAACTCACACCCTCACCTCTCTGACCGAGGCACCACCACTCTTCACAGCCCTGGGACTAACTACACCGACATCCGCTCCAACGAAGCCCACCCCTACCAGAGCTTGGA